TGGGGGGGGGGGAGAGAGGTGAAAATGGTGAAATGGTATGACTTTAACACCCCTATCAACACTATTAGGTTATGTAAGAGGCGGGGCCTCCTAGTTTAACGTCCGTCTCGGAAAGGACCGAGCCAAGTGGGAAATTCGTGTAAAGTGTCTTTCCCAAGGACACAACTTCGGACTGAGCTGAGGCTCGAACCCCCAAACCCGCAATCTCGTGATTACGAGTTCGGTAGCCTAATCACTAGGCTACCGACGCCACCGGAGGGAGAGGAAATAGGTCAAAGGTCACAGAGGCAGCGGTAAAAGATGAGGCGAAAGGTTAACGTTAACTCTCCCTACCCTATCGCCGACAGTATGTGAGGCTGCGTGGTGAAATCAGACGCTCGTCAAAATACTCGATTTATTACGCTGCAAATTTTACACTTCTCTCTTTGTCCAGAATAAGTTTTCTCTGGTGGTAGGCCCGTTTAGGTTGATAGGACAACGCTCGGCTGAGGAGAGGTTTTTAAAAGAGCGCCAAGGGATGTTTAGTTTTAGTAAGGTTTTACGGCGTTCGCAACTGCATAAGGTCATATGAGCGCCAAGGGGTGGGTGTCAACAGAGAAGTCTTTACATGGAATCAGACTTACTCTGCTCACCTCTCTAGCTTCAACAGCACACAGTCTGTTTCGACTGTCAAGGCACCCCGGAAATAGCGGGTCACAAAAGTGTGACAAACATACAAAAGAAGTAGAGGAAAATGACAATAGTAAGGATTAGGAAAGAAAAAGCAGCAGTTCCCTATTGTAGATCAAGCACAGTTATGAGCGTGACATTGTTGAATCAGCCCATTTACAATTCTACTGCACATGAACGAGAAATGTCCCCCCTTTGGGAATGGCCTAAAGACATTGCAGTCAGTGGCACCGCCCCGGGAGGTATTATGACACGTTTCATTTGACCGACCGGTTCAGAAATTAAGAAAAAGAAAGGATTTTATTCAAAGCCAATCGGGGTTCATCGACTGACGAGAAAAAATTGGACATTTTCAATTTTATCCTAGTATGAGACAAGTCTGCGAGTTCAACAAACCATAATTGACCCTGAAAAACAGGGTTTGATAAAAACAGGACATATTAATAACAAGGCTTGATAAAAACAGGATTTCAATAGCTTGATTAAAAACAGGGCTTGATAAATTTAAATTGGTAAAAACAGGACATGATTAAAAACAGGGCTTGATAAATTGGTAAAAACAGGACATGATTAAAAACAGGGCTTGATAAATTGGTAAAAACAGGACATGATTAAAAACAGGGCTTAGGCAAGTCTATTGAAGGATAAAAACGTAGCACTAGCAGATGGGAGAGTGAGACACCAACAATTGTTACGGTACCGTCAAATTTTTTTTTTACAACAAACAACAAACCTTGACCGGAGACTTTTTCGCAGCTTCCAGTTGAGAGTCAAACTTTGTCCTCAGCTCCTCCATCTCTTTCTGCCATTCTTTTTCTCTGGCTGCGAATCTCTTCTCCACCTCTTTGTCGTCAGCTGACTTGGAGTCCCTGAAAAACAATCGGTCGTTATTCACACTGTAACATTGTTGTTGTTGTTGTTGTTGTCGATCCAGCAACAGCAGGGCTCTCGCCCTTCTGTCCAATGCCATGTAGTGATAAGTGCCTGTCACTTTCGTATATTCGTCAATTTGCTTCAACCAAGACTTCTTCATTTGTTTTTCTAGCTGTCCATGGGATACGCAGCATGCGTCTTATGAACCACAACTCTGTCACCACAATTGTTCTTTCCAGCTGTTTATTGATTGTCCATGCTTCGCACCCGTATAATAGGATTGGCTCGATGTAACTTTTCAATGCTCTTTTTCCTGTTTCCAGTGACAGATTGATGTTTGTGAGTATCTGTTTCATCTTGTGGAAGGTTGCTTTTGCTTGGCAAATGTGGGTTTTAATTTCGGTGTGACATCTCCCATCTGATGATATAACGGTCCCCAAATATTATAGCAACAGATTAGGCCTACATAAAAATGACCAAATTACTCCAAGCGGGACTACTTCTGGAGCAGTGTAAGTGAAAAAATATCCCAAATTCCTGCATGATTGTCGATTCCAGTACAGTTCTGTGAAATCTCTCTCTGTCTCTCTCTTTCTTTCTCTCTCTCTCCCTCCCCCCTTCCTACTCTCCCCCCTCTCTCTCCATCCCCCTTTCTCTCCCTCCTCTCTCTTTTATACCATGGTGTCGCTTGCGGGGAAGTCACCAACGAGGTAAAAGGGCGGATTAGGAGGCGAAGAGATTTGTATCATTTTAAAACGAAGTTCATACAGTAGATAGAGCGAAGAGAATGTGAGAACGAGGCACATAAAGGTACATGTTTTTTTTTAGAAAGTATAACGAAGTTCTTACAGTTAGGTGCCCTTTCAGCGAAGAAAATTTTAGATGACGCGAGAAAAATTTATTCGATGGTTACCTCCTTGTTTCGTATCAGACGAAAACGTGACTCGCAGAAGAGTTATAA